CTGAATATTTATAAGTGCAGTGAAGTGGAGTTCAGTACCTGTCCATTGTCCTACAAAGAACTCATAACCATCTCTTCTTGGTAGTGCACAAAGAAAAGTTGGGCAGGACTGAGCCCGGTTCCAGATCAAATCAAACTTCTCTTTAGGAATAACTGCGTAGACTGTGTCTTTCGCTGAAAAATACTGCTGCCAAATCTGTTTTATTTCCTCTGCAGTTTTGTCTTTCACCATCTCAACGTTAAAGATTGAACTGAGAGTCTTGTCCTTAGTGAATCCTTTGCTCACAGGCTGTTTCCCTGAGGCATCTGTCTTCTGCTCCACACATTTGATAAAATCACTTTGTTTGGAGTGCCCCACTGGTTGCTTCCGAAACTCACTGCGCTTCTCCAGGCGGGACTCAAAGGCAGCTGGGTCAGACCTGCGCAGCTGCTGGATCTTGTCCCGGTAGCGGTCGTAGAAGGGGTTCGCTTCCAGCTCGCTGACCCCGCTACCGTCTGCTCCCCCCGAGGGCAGGCCGGAGCCCCGGCGTACCGGGAACACGCGTAGCTGTGCTGGTGACACGAACCCCAACCCCAGGGCGCGGCTGCGCACTGCACACAGCCCCCGGTAGAGGCCGGCCACCTGCAGGACCGCGGGGCACGCTCCACCCGCAGCTGATACCACGGCCGCCATGGCCGCCCGCGCCTCCCCCTCCTCCTCCTCCGGAGCGTCAGCCTCGGCCCCCCCTGATTCTATTTTTTAAAGTTTTGTTTTTCTTATCTCTTCCATGATGTTCTTACCCACTCCAACATTGTTTTTCTAGTTACTTAACTATTAATTCGTACTCTTTTAACCTCATAGCCATACTTTAAAGCCCTAAACCCCAGTCTGACTCTATTTGAAGAGAGGTTCATTGGGTAGATAACTAAGGTTGACTGAGGTCATAGGGTAGGGCCCTACCTGTAGGGTTGATGTCCTGATTAGGAGAGGAGATGCTGCAGGGCTCTCTTTGTCTGTGAACATGCACAGAGGGAAGGGCAAGTGAGCACACAGTGAGAAAGCCGCAGGACAGGAAGATGCACTGCCGCCGCTTCAGACACCAGTCCTAGTGGTTCCTGGTCTTGGACTCCAGGATTGCAAGAAATAACTTTCTGCTGTTTCTCCCCGAGTCTGTGATGTTTCTGTCAGGGTAGCCCTAGTACACAAATTACAATGTGTGGATTTAGGTATGGAGATTTTTCTTCTTTTGTAACATGGGCATTTTCTGTTCTACATCTTCCTCCAAGCACCATTTCATTGCATCACACAAGGTTTAATGCAGATACTGCCTTTGTGTAGAGTTCTGTTTCTGTGAAGAGACACCATGACCAAGGCATCTCCTACAGAGGAAAGCATTTAGAGATGAAAGGGGTCTTGCTTGGCGGCATGCAAGCAGGCATGGTGCTGGAGAAGTTGCTGAGAGCTTCATCCAGATCTGCAGGTGGAGAGCAAGAGACTGGGCTTGGCATGGGCTTTTGAAACCTCAAAGCTCACCTCTAGTGACACACCTCCTTAAACAAGGCCACATCCATTCCAACAAAGCTGTACCCACTCCAACAAGACCACACCTTCTTCCAAACAGTTCATCAAATGAGGACTAAGCATTCAAATATATAAGCCTATGGGGCATTCTCATTCTCAAATTTCACAAAGTTTTCATTCATCTTGAAAAAAAAGGAAGGAGGGACTATGTGCACTTAGGGCTTAGTTTGAAATTGGCAATGGGAGGAGAGGACCTTGCCATCAGAGGCCTTAGTTGCCAAAAAGGAGGTAAAAATACTGAGAGTGAGGAAGGTGTTGGGGCTTCAGGCAGTTCCAGCAGTGAGAAAGCCACTAAGGAAATGCTGATAAGGGCACCTTTGAGGCTGGCCATCAGGACCATAACTAGACACTTCTTAGGTTACCTAGGAAAGAAAAGCCTTTCTATAATCCAATGAAATCACTCACTGAGGGAAAAGCTTTAGAGGTGTGTAGTGGTATGAATGTAATTGGTCCCCGTAAGCACATAGGGAATGGCACTTTTAAGAGGTGTGACTGTTGGAGTGGATATGGCATTGTTGGAGGAAGTGTGTCACTGTGGGAATGGGCTTTGAGGTTTCCTATGCTCAACAAACCTCCCTAATGTCAGAGACCATTTCCTGTTGCTTTCTGATCAAGATGTAGCCAACACCATGTCTGCCTGTGTACCGACACACTCCCTGCCATGATGATAATGGACTGAACCTCTGAAACTATAAGCCACCACCTCAATGAAATGTTTTCCTTTATAAGAGTTGCTGTGGTCATGGTGTCTCTTCACAGCAAGAGGTTACAGAGGAGAAGAATGTTAGTATGTGTTGGAATTCCTGGCCACTCCCCCAGCTACATGACCGAATATGCACAGTTTAGCAGCCAAGCAAGGGGCCTTACGTCCTATGTAATCCATGCGCTGCGTGATTTTGTAATTTGCATGCAGCATGATCACTCAATTTTTGCACATGCTTGGCATAGCTCCCTAAGCCCATATGTGCATGTGCAGGGGAATCCATAAGAAGCGGGACACAGACTCCTCCCCTCCCCCCTCCCTCCTGCACATGTCTTTTACAGGTCTGGTCACATTCTCTTCTATCCCTCTCTTCTCCTAATAAAACTGATAGTGGGTTTTGTTGTGTCTCATGGCTTTTCTTGCATGGTAACAGCACCGCTTAATGAATAACATTGCGCTGCAGCATTAAAACCTACAGTATGTTGCTTAGAGGTTGTTCTTGTGGTATTTTGGTGAAGAAACTGGCTACCTTTTGCCCTTGTTCAAGGAGTCAGTCTGAGGCTAAAGTGAAAAGTTTTGGATTAATTCAGTTGGCAGCGGAAACCTCAAAACAGCCTAGTATAGACTCTGTTGTGTGGTTCGTAGTAGTAACTCTAAAGATTTATAATGAAAAGGAGCAAGAAAATGTAAAATTTCAGAAGAAAAGTAATAGAGTTAAGTGCTGTGTTCAAGGAGATAAACAGATTAAGAAATGGAATAAAGGGAGTGGTGACCTTGGCAAGATCCCCCTAGCTAAATTCCAACTTATGGAAAGGAACTAAAGAAAAGCTTTCAGCCGGGTGTGGTAGTACATGCCTTTAATCCCAGCACTCTGGAGGAAGAGGCAGGTGAATCTCTGAGTTTGAGGAAAGCATAGTCTACAGAGCAAGCTTCAGGACAGCTGAGCTTAAGCAGTGAAAGACAGAAAGCTGGTGAAGATGTAATTGAGTGAGGGAGCCATGGTCCAGCCCCAGCAAGCAGCAGAACTCGGCAGCTTCGACCACATGGTTCTAGCTTTAGAGCTAAGGATAGAAGAAAGGTTATGGAATCTGCCTCCTTGACTAAGGAAAGCTGCTGAGGCCAAGAATGTGTCAGGAGTGTCCTTGAATGGAGTCCTAGAGAGGCTAAATTGTGTAAAGTTGTGAAGATGAAGCCTGGATTAACCTTGGAGACCCCAAGATGTAGGAGATGCCAGAGCTATGGGATACCTGCTGAGGAAAGCTGCTAACAGGGAGTAGAACCCGCCCAAGAGAAAGAAGTGTGTTGCAGTCAACAAAGCTGAAAGGAGTTGGAGATCTGAAGAGCATTTTAATGTCAAATATGGAGATGCAGAGTTTGGAATTTGTTCAGCTGGTTTTTGGTCTTGTTTGGTCCAGTACTTCCTCACTATGCTCCCTTCCCTACATTTTGGAATGGTAATGTATATCATGTGACATTATATGTTGGAAGTATGTGATCTGTTTTTTTTTAATTTTTATTTTGTAGGGGATTACAGTTAAGATATTGCATGAATCTCAGAAGAGACTTTGAACTCTGGACTTTTAAACATTGTTGAGACTGTGATAGACTATGGGGACTTTTGAAGTTGAACTAAATGCATTTTGCATTATGATATTGTTAGAAACTTATAGGGACCATGGAGTATAATGTGGCAATTTGAATGTAATTGGCCCCCATAAGCTCATAGCGAGTGGCACTATTAGGAGGTGTGGCTTTGTTGGAGTAGGTATGACCTTGGTGGAGGAAGTGTGTCACTGTAGGGGTGGGCTTTGAGGTTTCCCATGCTCAACATACTCCCTAGTGTCTGAGACCCATTTCCTGCTGCCTTCTGATCAAGATGTAGCTAACACCATGTCTGCTTGCACACTCCCATGATCCCTGCCATGATAATCATCTGAACCTCTGAAACTGTAGGCTGCCACCTCAATTAAATATTTTCCTGACCTGAGCTAATAGGAGCTCATGGACTCTAGACCAACAGCTAGAGATTCTGCATGGGACTGACCTAAGCCCTCTGCATGTGGAATCACAGTTGTGTGGCTTGTTCTGTATGTGGGGCCCCTCGCAGTGGGATCAGGACCTGTCCCTGGCACATGAGGCAGCTTTCTGGAGCCTATTCCCTGTGGAGGGATGCCTCACGCAGCCTTGATGCAGGGGGAGGAGTTTGGTCCTACCTCAACATGATATGACCTGCTTTGTTGACTGCCCCTTTCTGAATGGTGGAAGAGTGGATAGAGGGATAGATGGGGGAGGGGGAGAGGGAGGGGGAAGAGAAGAGGGAGGGGAAACTGGTTGGTATGTAAAATAAATGAGAAAAATTGAAAAAAAAAGCTACCATGGTCACAATGTCTTTTCACAGCAATAAAAACCACAAGACAAAGTGACATCATTAGGTGAGCAAATACACACACACACACACACACACACACACACACACACACACATCCCATGATATATGTATATCATGAGTTAAGGTGTATGTATGTAAGGGATGATGGGAGAGTTTTGGGAAAAGCCTTCTGGAAGATGGTTGAATGTTCTGTTTTGTTTCTCCTCAGGAATAACCGAGGCAGAATGAATGTGAGGCTTTGTTGAGAACTACAATCCTCCTGGGGTTGGGTGGGAGACAAGAGACTCAGCCTACAGTTCTGCTACTGCCAGGTTCATGCTTAGGTTTCAGTTTCCCCTCAAATTGCTCTTGATACATGATCAAAATTTCTTCCCTTTTCCAAAACCTCCACCTTGGCTTCCACATTGTAGGCAGGCTTGCAAATGACGCAACTGTAGCTAGAGTTTTCCTGCCTTGCCCACAGTCAGGACAAATCTCTGTCACCCGCCAGTCCCACAGCCGCTCAGACCCAACCATGTAAACACAGAGACTTATATTGCTTACAAACTGTATGGCCGTGGCAGGCTTCTTGTTAACTGTTCTTACATCTTAAAGTAACGCATTTCTACAAATCTATACCTTGCCACGCGGCTCGTGGCTTACCAGCATCTTCACATGCTGCTTGTCCTGGCAGTGGCTGGCAGTGTCTCCTTCTGCCTTCCTGTTCTTTTATTTCTCCTCTGTTAG